ATTACTATTTCTTAGTAATTCTTCGACATGAACACCACCGTATTGAATCTTTGTCCACTTACTGCAATAACGACAACATTATGTTCATTAACTAACATCGTTCCAAGCATATCGATGTTTATCCGAATAACCGCACTTCATTGATGGATCTGAACTGATTGAATAATATTTGAACGAGTCGATGTCATCAAACGGTTCCCATGAAGGTGAAGGGACTCTGAAAATATTTGTTTATATTATTTGCGGTTATTGAATGATCGTATCTTGTTCAGATTATTAGTGTATTTTGAATTGCGAGTTTTTGAATTTATATAGTTTCATATTATTAATATCAATTGTCTTTTACGATTAACGAGAATAATCATCCCTGATGATATCATATAATCTTAATGATCAAAAAGAATAACCCCGTTTTAGCAAAGTCAGTCCATAACTGCCCCAAACGGTCAGCGATCGTATGATCCATAGAGACGGTACGATTTTCACGCTCACCTCGTTTCCAGCATTCCTCCGAGAGGAATATGAAACATATTTCTTCGGTATGAGAAATGGCTGAAAGAGAAATTCAGACGGTAAGAAGGAATATAAACAGAAGAAGTAATGAATGTAATGTGCGATCGGTATAGCAATTATTACACGAGTATCGTTCGATTATTGCTGTCAAAACCGTCATAAATTTGTTTGGACAAGATTCGTTGTTCGAAAAAAATCGAACCCAACAAAATGGTAACAATTTTTTTGAACTTCAATTAATGTCTAATGCTGTTCATATGAAATCACCGTGAGATCCTTTACCAGTGGATGTAAGGGTACACCCAAATAGTTGTATAAGTTTCATACCAGAGAACGACCGAATAACGAGAATCACAGTTAAAAAATAAGACTATTCAAACGGATAAATTAAAAGTTTTTCATAAACAAACGTTTCCAATCGTCGAATCGATCAGTGTGTACTAAATCCGATTCGTAATCAAACTCATAGATGAAAATGTCTTTATTATCACCGTTTCGGTACCACTCAATCTCTTTCGCAATTGGTGCAATGAAGAATAAGCCACCGAATGTCTCAAATCAATTCGCTTCATTAACGCTTTGTTATTATGAGTCAAACATATAAACATTCACTCAACAAATTTGGAATGATTATAAGAGAAACGCACGTGAATGCTGCATAAATAGGATGTGAATCCTGTACAAACTGGATGTGTGCTCAAGCAAAACTGACAATACTAAAGAACAAATGAACACGTAACGTGACTGACAGTCAAAAGGAGCGATTCGAAAGAGAGCTCACCACTCACTTCAACAGTAGTTTTCAACCACCTTTCGTGGTCATCCTCACTCAGTTCAGGTACACCATGCCTTACATAAATGGCACTTATCAGCTCATATATCATTTCATTCAATTCAGTCTTTTCGGTTATGTTACCAACAATGCGATCAAAAAGAGTCCTGTGAAACGTGGAATTGAAATCTTCGAGAGTTGTCGAATGCTCACGAACTGAAATAGTTTCGAGGTTTTCTTTACGAACACCTTCGAATGAAAATCGATTTAAAATTACAAAATTCAACTGGAAAACTGTTGCGACTGAAAAAACGAACATTTGCAAACTGTTTGTTTGGAAAAATTATCAAAATGAGAGCAAATGCGTTAAGTCGCTATTCGTTTTTCATTGAGCTTTAAGGAGTGATCAGTTGAAAAGATAGTACTAGGATACACCAACTATCAATAACAAAAATGTTTCATCAGTTATTAGATAGATATATAATATTTTTCGCTCAGTTCACGAGCAATCCATAGATTATGAAAATATTCGAAGAAAAAAAGGAATCCATTCAGTCAAAATCGCGAAAATTTCAAAATTTCAGAGGTTATTCTACCGAAATAATAAAATTCATCTCTGGCCGTTCCGATCATTACTGGAATGTTCGGTCTTTGTTCCGCCAAAGTCTGAGGAGTATCTGGTAACGTGAGATTATCTGCAGTAATCAGCCATCCGAAATCATTCACTTGCTGGAAGGGATTAGGCATAAGTTTGGACATAGCATTTTACTGAATGACTTTCCGTTGAGCTAATCATCAGTTAAAATCGAGTAATGATATGTGGCAAATGACAAGAATTATGACGATCTTCGGTGGGAAAATCGAAAGTTCTGAATAATTTGAATCGATATCTGCGATCGATAAACAGTACTCGTATGCAGAAAATCGCCCACATTCAATGTTATTGATCAAGAATGAACCTTGCCATATTCATAATCATTATCCAAAATGAAATACATCGTCGCGTGCTCCATACATTGCCGCAATCTGCCGAAACGCTTCGACTCCCATTCCGTTGCCGAACAGTTACACATCATTTCAGCCAGTATTTGACTTCGTTTCGAAGGCTGCCTTATATATCCATCGTACATCGTCAATAGACTTCCACTTTGCATTATGGCTTGGTGGATTATATCTTGAATATTCATACAGTTCTATTCAAAATTGAAACTTTCATCAAACATAAATTAATGATTTTAAATTAGGAGTCCAATATTTTAGCGAATTTCATTGCAAAATTGGATTCTCAATTCAACATCGTTAATTTATCGTTTGAGACGTATATGAAGTTTGCATTGGAAACAGCAATATTTTGAGAAACGAAAAACCACTGATCGAAAATGAGCTAAGTCGCATCATCTGTTTAGGAAAGAAACCAAAACATTGAGAGTGAAATTAAAGAATGGATGATAGTAACCTCTAGTCAATGGACTAAGAGTGAGTGCAGAAACAATACTCGATCCAGCAGATATTCCGAATATTGTAATTTCTGACCTATTACCACCAAATGCCTCAATCTCATCGTAGACCCAATTGAGGGCTGTTGCTGCGTCGTGCAGACCACGATTCGGTGGGAAGTCATCAGTATTTGTCGTGAAGAAACCTTAATAATGGAAGTACAATAGAGATTGTAGCTATTCTCTTCAATTCAAAGGTGAAATTTTTGAATTTCAACTGAGAAATTCGATTAATTCATCGACTGAAATATCCGAACTTAAAAATGCTTTCTTCGATAACAATAAATTTCCGGGAATTCGAACAAACAATAAATTGGTTTTAAATCACTTTCATGGATGTAATGAATATAATCAGTTTTACGATATAAATCGAATAAAATTCTCGTATCACGAACCGAGAACACCAACTCGATACTGAACAGTAACGACGATAACATCACGACTCACAAAGTTAGTTATTGCTCCAGGTATGTCCAGTTCACGAGCGTTACCTTCAGTCAGGCCACCGCTATGAAAATAAACCATCACTGGGAGAAGGTTTGCTGATTTTGCATTTGGCTGAAATAATGCTCATCGGTAGTGCTAATGATAGCATTTCTTCACCACTTGATAGTGACACTGGATAACAGAATATTATTATTTTGTATGCTTTTCAGTATGAACAAGTTTATCCAAGATATCTCGACTCTGAATGAAACTGCAAAAATGAAGATGAAACGCTCAAGCGGATTTTGACGATAATGCATTTTAATCCATATAGATGCAAATATTACGATTATTCGAATGTTTTCATAATATAACAATTTTTGGAAAAACTGATTTTTAATTTTACAAACAAATATACGAATCCGATCATATACTAGATCGCGTTTGAACAACAGCGAAATCGATCGTTCCAAAGAAGACCACTTACAGCAGGAGTGAAAATATTCAACTTGAGGCAGTTCTCACTCATTGTATTCTTATCGAAATGTGCAGTTTGAGGACAATATTTCGAATGTTTCGATGCATTGTAATAACCAGATTTGAATTTGAGCAATGGCTTAGTTTGCTGCAAAAGATCATCATTTAATCGCTTGATATCTAACTTTTGATGAAATCTCATAAAACGAAACAGATCTCATCTCAAACGTTTCACACAAACTATTTTCGCTCGACAATTAACGTTGACCTGTTTTGTGGGCGCAAAAATTTGAAACAATTCTTCACAATCCACGTTAAATTCAAGCAGAATGCTGATTAATCATATCGTCTAGCAGTTCAATTGGAACATCACATATCGATAAAGCCTACCGCGAATCTCAGGTGACCAACAGGCGCCCTTGCATACGGTATCCCAAGAAACACATCGGCATCTCCAAAATAAAGGCTAGAGGCATCATTACCGTAATCAACGTGAAAACCATAGATTGCACCACGTGATGTGTTCACCTCAATTGAAATAAGTTATTGTAAACTGATAGGAAATGATTATTCATTTACTTTTGTTTCATCTGTAATTAACAAAATGGTTATCGTACCGCGAAAACTGTATCATTTGATCACTACGAAATTCATCTGTGATTCTGATGCATTTCGGAAAGGAAAACAGATTTTTCGTCAATTTGATTCACCCTCAACTGGGATGTTATTTTGGTGTTATTGTATTGTAAATCACGAATAAACTTCATTCAGTTCGATCTGCATATTATAATTGTACTTTCAAACGGGAGAATTATGACGCACACGGCGTCACATAAAACTTAAACTGTTGCATTGTATTTTACACCTCCGAAAATTCAATGCATGAAAATTTTGGAACGAAAAGAAGCTGGTTTATAATAAATACCTTCACTTGACGTGACTCAACTGATAACGGGAACAGAATAAGGAGTGGAAGTGAAATGAATGAAATGTAAAATAGGAGCATCACAGGAGTGTCGGAATAAAAATGCATTCGCTTCTGAATGAGAGAACAATTTAAATCTTTTTGCGTGAAATACAAATAGTTTACTTTCATCGTAAAAATTGCTTGTCGTGCTTCACGATGATATTCTGTGAATATAACAAAAGTATTTCGAATGTTTACTGTAATTTCACATCGCATAAACAATTCCTTTTTGAAATACTACTGCCTTCATACAAATACGAGTCATTTTCCAATATAAAGTTTATATTTGTAAAACAAAACTCAATCAAATGTAATTGATGGACTGTAATTGAATCGCTACAATGGCTGTAGCATTTTTAAAACAACGCCAATTTTTTAGAAGATTGGAACATTTTTGAAAAAAATTTTTCGTGTTTCACATTATTTGATAGTGGATGAAAGATGAATTGTGCGAGGTGGATTTGACAGTGCGAGAGCAGTTACCAAAACGCTGAAGAGACTCGACCGTGATAATCATTCGAATTCTCAACGCTTTTCCTGATCAAAATAAATCCTCGTAGCGCGATGTATTTTCACTGAAAATTACAAACGTCATTTTTGTTGTTTTAAACAATTGTTGATAATCAACTGAACGAATGAGATTTCTTGAAGAGTTTCAAATTTTACGGAAACAATTGTAAACGATTTGAGCCAATTCACGGTGATTGCAAGGACAGTAGAAAAATTTAAGTGAGTCATATAGACAGATTATTACTTCAGTATTAGCAGATTGAAAAAGTGACTCTAGATGTTTAACATATTTCAATTATTTGATATGAGGTCACGTCGAATATTTCTTTTGTCATGACCTGAATAGTACTGTCAGTTCTGTACTGTAGGAACGCATGCTAATGTTGATGGAAACTGAGCGACGCAAACGTATATAATCTTATATACGTAAACGTACATAATCTTTTGACAGATTTTTAGAAGAAACTAAAAATATTTTGCTGATGTGAAATGTCAACGTTTTCTTATCAACTTTTTTNTTTTTTCTTCGTCAAGCTTTCATTTTTCGTTGATACTTCATTCGATAAGTGAGTTCATCCAAAAAATGTTCCATTATGATTGAACTCTCAAAATTTGATGGGAGGAGCATTCAAGGGACGTGAATCTTACAATTAGTTAATGCATTTTCCGGATTTTTAACACTCATTGACTGAGCCCTCCAAAGAAACTGAACATCAGACCTTTCTTTTAAGTCACACTTATGTTAAGTATGCAATCCGCTGAAGTGCAGAACTTGTAATCGAAGCATATATGATGTGTGGACTGGATTAGTTTTGTGATGAGTTGATCGCTAAAATGAACGCTATTTACGACGCACCTTTTCACTTACTATCAGAGACACCTAATATCTCCTCTAATATACTTTTTCCATCAATATTTAATTGCCTTTCACGTGTCAACCTGCAATTCGAATAGATAGAAACAATGACATGTTTAAATTATAACCAGAAAATTCAGGATATAACAACGTAATCGGTTCATTTTCCCAACTGTTTTCTGCTTTTATCAACTGATCGCAAATACTTTTTACGCTCAATAATTTCTTACTTGCAACATAATGCACTATTTCTACGAGTTTCGAGTTGCTATTTGACTGACTGCTTTTCGATGGTGTATGTTGCAGTTAATTGGACGAAGGTACAGTTAGACGTTCTTGAATGTGAACTGCTAAACAATTTTAAACGTATTATTCGAATAATTAACACTCAAAAATGCTATGTAATGGTATGATTGAAGCATAATAACACTTCATAATTAATGGACACTATAAGATACGCATCTGATGGGTCACAATGACGGGGTAATAACAATATGAATGAAAACTTATGGCAGTCACCTGTCAACGTATGGACGACCATGAGACCCTGATGAGGTATAGTTTTCTAAGAATTCACTGCCCTCTTGCAGCAGTTCCGGTTTCCATGACGGTAACAGATAAATCCAAGCCATCAAAACTTCACCAGAATTCATCTCTACCTGAATGCAAGGAACAATTTTCAATCAAAGAATAATGACCAGTTGAAAAGAATAATGAAATGTTAGATTAGGTGAGGTTTTATTTTATGAGTTAGAATGTTTTCTCAAGAGAAATGTGACTTGCATACATTGATTGATATGACGCATTGGAGTATTCTAAATATTAATAATGAGGATAACACTGTTACACCTTTATGAATCTGATATGCATGAATATTAGTAAGCAATTTCGATATGATTATTCATCAGCAAATGGATTTTATATTAAGAAACAACTGATACTTGTATATACCTGATGTAACTGTCTTGTATAGAACTGTGGATGTGATTCGAATTTATCAAGGAACTCCATTTTGCTCTCATCCACTTCGTATACTTCACCATGAATACGCTGAAATTTGGCATCCCTTAAGAATAAGTTCACTTCTAAATCTTATTGATACCTAATGTCATCCTCAAAATCAAACTTTATCATATTTAAATGATCTATTTTATCAAATTATGACCGAATATTTCTCCGTTTACTAACTGCGAATTCCAAAACGATATTCCACGTGAATTTTCCATTTATTAATTCTTCATCTGTTCTCATTTTGTTCTTCTTGAAAACAATATCAACTAGAAGATGCAGTCGTTTAACTGGTGAAGTTGGTCGATAAGCTGATTTCATTCAGCATTAACACTAACTAAAGAGATTCACTTATCAAATAAAGTCATCGAAAAACATGACGAAAATAATTTATGTTTAGAAAAGTAAGCGCGATGAGTACTACGATTATTTGACTAAATTTAAGTGGCACAATTTGTTTGCAGAAGGCACAAAAAAGTACAGTCTTTATTCTTTGACTCACATCCACTTAGAATTGTTCGGTATGAATAAATAAGGAAAATGCGAACACTCAAAATAAGTGCATTTTAAGGTGAATAACGCACATGACCCGTTCCTGGCTGCTTTAAACAAAACGGAATATTGTACTTCGACGCAACGATCAACGGAAATCGCTCAACGGTACGTGCACTACCAACGAAACGATTTTGACCGCTCTCGTCGTTCTTCAAAACACCATTATTTGGTTCACCACTCTTCAGAGTGCCATAAACGAAAACAACGCAACTGTTCTTTATCGTATTCGTATTTACTAATCTCTGAAGAAAGTTGTTTTTGGATGATTGATACATTCCGTTGAGAAGAATGCTCTTGAAACTGCAACTTGACGTGTGGGTGAAGTAAACGTAAATAAATCAAACGTAAATCACCATTTACGGCTTTATTAAAACACATTTTTAAAATAAAATACGTTCATTTAGCTTTCAGTCNAGAAATGTTGAGAAAAGATTTATTTTTACGTGCTCAAACCGTGTTCAGTGAACATACCTTAACGACGTTATTCATTGCTTGATTCATTTAATTCATAGCATTTGCTGTGATATTACGATCAATACTTCTCAATTGTCTTTAGATATCACCAATGATCAATTTTCAATCAATACTATATATGTTGCTCAGTTATCTTCCTTCCATGCAAAGAGGTACGCATACAAATGATTAAATGGTTATTGAATGTTTGATAATATAGAATAAATTCGGCGTTCTCTGTAACGAATTAAATTTATGATTCAATTGAATTTCCTCACGATTGGTTTGTTCGTTGTTTAGAAAGCATGACTGGTTTTGAATATATCAGCACATCGCTTCTCGCTTACGCTTTCTCTTCCGCATTTAACATTTTACATCAATGCACAAACAAAATGACTGCTTTCTCTCGGTGCGTTAACAAATAACGTTTTATAAAGGTTCAGAATATGTCTGAAAATTGGTGAATGTTATGAAATAATCATAAGTGGATCAATATTTTATATGAATTATGGATGAAGACAGACGAACACATATATAAGCTCATTGAATAGTCATCTAATTTTGTGAACACTGACTTGTAGGTGGTGGTGAAATGAGTTGTGCGTTCGAGAATAATGTGAATTGAAGATTATGTTCTAGGTAGAGAAAATTTTTAAAAAGTTATTAAAATAACACGCTGAATAAGGAGGATTAAGCAAGACGAGATACACCAAAAGAGTGTTGAATAATGCAGCAGGTATAATCAAAAAATGAGGTCACCTGAATGAGTGAGTGCTTAGAGGGCTGGAGGGCTGTGATTATGGTGCTTCCGATATCGTTGCACAAACAATTATGACGGTTATGTGATCAGATATGAATTGGTTAGAGATCCATCCATCCCTCTCTTACTCATTGTTTGAAAGATTGCTTGTGTCGTTCGTCGTATCTTTGTTATTGAATGCTCTTTTGATTACTTCCATCATTGTGAAGTTAATATAGTCACTGCTTTTACCTCGAACCTGTTGACATTTCAACTTGTTCAGATCAGTTATTTTCTAAATTAGTATTTCAACGAATCATATTTCCACATTTTAGCGAACGTAACAGCGTAAAAAATGTCTTGCACTGTTTCACAATAAATTCAGCGCTCTAACTGAACTCAATTTATAACTTCAGACTTGTGTGAATCATCTTTAATCTTATGATGAGAAGCTGACTTAGCTTACAATTAATACTTTGGATCTTTTGGAAGATTTGCATTTCGAGCTATCATCAGAGGAATGCAAGGAAAATAGGATGATGAACTGAAATTTGCATTAGTTTAATGTAAAACTTGTTTAAACCGGTCCTGTTGTATCTAATCAATCCACCAAAAAAAGCAGTAATTCCTTAAGCGTTGCTGATAACATTAATCAAGAAGCACAGTTGATTCGATCAGTTTGTTACTTCAAAATCTGTCCTTCAAGATGGGTATCAGGTTATGAGTCTGAGCGAGTAGTAATGGGAAGATACCTAAATCAGTGCTCCGCACGCTCAGATGCTTCATTACCTCCTTCGATGGTCTGGCGGGCCGTCATTATCCCCTGTCACTACAATAATTTACGATTTGCACGCATAGTGTCAGAACTAATTTCCCGATCCCCTCCATTACTCCCTGACACCCTCAAGTTACCCAAAAATGATTAATTCCCCCTCCCATGCGGATCTCTGACCTAAATGAAGTGCATAAGCGATAGCAGTAGTTGTTTGCATTTTCTATGCTTGTATTATCACTGAATTTGTAACTAATATTAACAAAGACGCGCAAGAGAATCTATGGCATAATATCCAACTCGAAATCTCAGAAACTTCTTTTGGTAGGCTAAATTTCACGTTTCTATCAAGATATTTTCTGCGAATGCCACTTTTACGACTGTCGGTGCCATTGCTGCTCTGCGTGTAAACCTCACAACATATATTGCGAAGTATATGTGAAATATGCATCAGTTCCGATAAAGTCCTCGTTCTTATATTGCAGCAATATGTACTGTACCGAAGATATTGCTCGATCAATGAAACCTGAACGATTAGCTGAAGAAATGCTGAAGGAATTATTGAAAAATCGAAATTTTCAAAAGTATTTAATCGATCAAATTGTTGATCAATTAGTGAATGAGCCATCTACAATGCCATCAATTCATAACAGTCATTCGCATCAGAATATTCACTTGTACACTATGAACCGTAACGATGGTAATGATGTGAACGATAATGAGATAACATTGAGTGTTGATCAACAAATTATTGCGACAAATATCAACACACTTAAAGTATTGCTTAATACGGTCATCGAGACATATTTGAGAAGTGGTATTTTCATTTTTTATTGTTAAAAAAATTTCTGACATGCATTTCATAAGCCTAAACTAATAACGAATGTCCCTCCACTCGTTAATCGTCGCTCTCAAACTTTCACATTACATTAATTCTCCGAAAATGAAAAAAAATCGCTATCTGACAGAAATATTCAACGTACTATTTGTAATAATTAGGTTGAGAAGTGCACCCACCTTATTCTGATCAACTATCGCAACAAAATGCTCAAGCACTCCGTATCTTACAATTCCTTTGCTGTCTTGAAGTTGTCCTTCTCAGTAATGAAATAACCTTTTCTTCACAGCTGATATTGCTCTGTGTGAATTCGGAATGGATACGAATCGTGATGCAGCTATACTGTTCTCATCGAGAATTCAGATCGATCGTTTTTTAGCACTGAAAACTTTTGATATTTGCCGTTTCGAGCAGACCATTCGACGAATATGCACACTGCTGCGTACATTTGCTACACGAATTTCAACGTAATTCTGTTTGTTTTCAACGTCATTGTTTCTGTCAAATAATCCAAAACGAATCGTCGTTTCTGTTCATTTCGGTATCATAATTTTGTTTTTGTCAAAATATATGTTTCATGATCGCATTTATAAAACAGGATGTTGTATATAATAGCACTTGCACAAAAAGAGCCATTAATATCAAGAGTACCTACCGACTCATTGCTGTCGAAGTAATGAAAAAATAAAACGCTGATCTATTCAAAATTGTTTGCTTTTTGTTGCTCTCTGATATCAGAGCAATAAAAGTGTTGCAAGCATTCGATCTTTCAGCCCGTTTCAAATAGCGAATTGCGCCTTCTTTGCAAGTTCAATGTGTGACATATTGTATCGATTCGAAGAGTACTGCTCAATTCATGAGGAGGAATCAGCTGAGTGCCT